AAAGCGGTTGATCCTGGACATCTATTGGGATACAGAAAAAGGCATCCTTCAGGTCTAATACCGAAAACCACCCAAAGTCACCAGGTATGGCAGTTAATAAAGTGTAGGGATTAGGCACAGTGGGATGTAAATCCCGAACAATGTCATTAATGGCCCTTAAATCTTGGACAAAACGGTACTCGCCTGTATGGGGTTTCTTCACTGGCAGAATCGGAGTGTTTTACGGTGAGCGACAGGGCCGAATGAGTCCAGATTGAAGGAACCTTTTTAATACTGGCTCAATTCCCCTCAAGGCTTCCTCATTTAAGGGGTATTGCTTCCTCCTCGGGGTTCTGCTCCCCTCTATCACTTCTATTTTTACAGGCTCAGCATTTTTCGCACGTCCTGGGGTTCCATCAGCCCATACCCATTTACTTACTCTTTCAACAATTTCTGGAGGTAAAATTTCACCTTTCGGTGGAACATCTTGAGTAAGTAACATCTGGAACCGCAGAGCATGCTTTGGAGGCATCTGTAGGTGAAGCCTCTGATGTTTTGGTGAGAATATAATTCGTGCATTGAGCTTACTTAAAAGGTCACGACCAAGGAGAGGGATTGGACACTCTTCCATGTATAGGAAGCTGTGCTGGAGCTGTGTGGTGCCTAGCCGGCACTCCAAAGGTTGCAGGAAGGGTGTCTGTTGTGACTTCCCTGTAACTCCAATGACTGCTGCAGTCTTTTTGCTCATTTTAGTTAATTTCGAATTCAAAACTGAGTATGTTGCTCCAGTGTCCACCAAGAAATCAATCAGACGATCCCCCACAGCGAGGGTTACCCGGGGCTCTGAGGGGGTTATTCTAATGGGCTTCTCTAGATCTAGTGGAGCCCCCGGGCACCCCTATTCTGCATCTGAACTTTCTCCATGAACTATCATCTGTCTCCTCTCCTCTGCACTTGGTTCTAGATTCCTTCTACTCTGTCTGTATTCCCTCCTATCTTCACCTGAGGCTCTACCCTGTGCTGTCATTTGTCTCCTGTCCTCTGTACTGGGCTCTCGATTCCTTCTCTGTCTGTATTCCCTGTCATCATCTGAGCCTCCACTCTGTGCTAACATTTGTCTTCTTTCCTCTCTCCTTGGTTCCTGGTTCTGTGTGCTCCTTCTATATTCCCTCCTGTAACCCCTACGTGAATCATCATGTCTTGGGGTTCTCTGTCTTCTATCCTGCCTTCTATAATTATTGCGTCTGCCGCTTCCCTGTAACCTGGGACAACTGTACTTCCAATGTCCCTCTTCCCTACAGAAAGCACACTGATTTCTTCCTAGGGGTTCACGTCTCTGTCCATTATTGTTTCCCTGAAACCTTGTTCTGTGTTCTCTTTGTACAAAAACAGTCGCAGGTTTCGGTCTCCTGTCCTCTCTATTATTATAAACCCTGAATGCCAGGTCCACTACCTGGGATGGACTCATCTCAGTGACGCCGTCCACCTTAGCTAACTTTTTCTTTATGTCTGGGGCACTATGGGTAATGAAAGCCATAGTGATCAGACGAGCATTTTCTGGGGCATCTGGGTTTATATCCGTGTGGTTAGTGTAAGTTTGAATAATCCTCTCAAGGAACTCTGACGGATCCTCATTAGCTCCTTGCTCGAGTTGCAATATTTTGTTAAAGTTTTTTGTTTGGGGATCCCCTGCTTCAGTCCTACCAATAAGCATTTTTTTATACAGATCCAACATCGTTGTTCCTCCATTGTTAGGGTCCCATCCAGGATCTCTCTCTGGGACAACAACCTCCGGCTCTGGGGACTGCCTATCCTGTTGGTGGAGATGGTCAGCCTCCTCCCTGGCTTTTCTGAATACCATCCTCTGCTCATCCAGCTTTAATAAAGTATGCAGCATGGACTGTATATCTGCCCAGTTAGGGCGGTGGGAGACAAAGATAGAGGCAAACAAGTTCGCCATCCTCTGAGGAGCCTGCCGGTACGAGGGAACAGAGCTCCTCCAATTTAGGAGGTCCGCAGTACTGAACGGATGGTGCGACCAAAAGTACCCAGCAGGTTTCCCATGTTCATTTAAGCCACCCATTGGCATCTGGCGAAGGGGAAACTGCCCTGCCTCAGGTTGATCCTTCCTGCCAAAATGGGTGCCGAGTCTAGTGTGGGGAGGAGACGCCATTTTAGTGTCCTCCCCAGAGGGCAGTGGAGGCTGTGCAGCCTCAGGGGTCTGCACAGGAGGGGCTTTGTCATGTGGAAGAGGATTTTGTCCTGGTGTATTTAAAGTATTTAAAATATGATGCTCCTCCTCTTCTAACTCTGCTCGCTGGCTGTCCTCATGGAAAGGGGAAGGTCTATCCTTTCTCTGCACCATTAGCCTAGCCTTCGCCTCCGCCATATCTAATTTATGGAGGGCGGCCTGCATCTGGTCCTGCATACCTTTAAAAGCTGACTCAAAAGTCCGATTTTGTTGTTGCACTTGATACATCATGCTTTGATAAGCTGACTCAAAAACGTTACGATTTTCATCCCTTATACTCTTAATCGTTAAATCAAAAACCTGATTTTGTTGTTGTATGGCCACGTTAAAAGCCTGAATTTGTTGTTGCATGGCTATGTTAAGAGCCTGAATGTGTTGTTGCACATTCTCAGTATGTGAAGTAGAACTTCTACCTCTCACAGAAACAAGAATGTAGCAAATTGCGCTTACACATATTACCAAAAACCCACCCAGAAGCACAGTCTGTAAAGGGATGGCTTGTAAACCACCCATGTATGTACACAATAGTAAAATCACATGCCATACACCAGGCTTCATCAAATTATTTACATTAATGAAACTGGTGGTGATATTTAATGGAAGAAGACTACTCAAATTCAAGGCCGGAAGGAAACTGAAAGAACTCAGGCTAGGGATGAAACTGTATAGGCTCATGGTTGAGGCCATATTTGAGTCAAAACGCACCCACAAGGGCTGTACGCACAGGGAAAAAACAGACTTTTCAGGACTAGAGACAAATATTATACTGCTAGTCCTGCAGAACTAGTGCGCTTATGGTGACCAACGCAAGGAATGTTACTTTGGGCTGGTCAACCGCGGGTGTAACTTGGAAACCACGCTGGGCACCAAACTGTTGTAGAGCAACCCCGATACAAAACGGGGTGCCTGACTGTGGGTCCTCACCCGCGCGCTTAAAAGGACTTATCAATGCTCTACTGCAGGCACACGTGAAAGGTTAATAAAAGGTTTATTTACAAAGGGAAGGGGAAATGAGGAAATGTACAGCTCTGGGAGAAAAGTGGGAGACAAAGTTTTAAATGAGTCCTACCCGATCCGCCGATTAGGAATCCCAAAATGGCGCTCTCAGAGTTGGCCGCCAGCCAGGAGCGGTGAAGCCAGGAGGCGAGCGATCGCGAGCCAGAGAGAGCCCAAGGCCCACGTGTTTGGTTTTTTATATCCAACCTGGCTGCCCAACTCCACCCTCAGGTCCCAGCCATCCTCCCTTGGTGGTGATGGGATTTGTCTTTCCCAGAGTCTTGATGGCTTTAGTCTGGAGTGGGGGTGGAGTCCACAAAGTTAATCCTGTATGGGATTAACTCAGGACATCACTTCCCCCTAACAGTTTTGATACCGGAATTGTCAGGCCTAGTCTCCCAGCCAGGAATAGATCCCAGGCTGCAGGGGCAGCGCTGAGTCTCAGCCACTAGACCACCATGGGTTGGTGTCTAACGAAGCCGCAGCAGGAACTTTGCAGACTCTCAGGCAAGCAAGCGAGAAGAGGCAGGTTTGTTTAGAGAAAGAAAAAGTTTATTAAGGAGAAAAGGAACAGAAATAAAGTGGGACTCCCAGGCCAGGAAACCAGGCCAGGGAGGGGCAAGGAAGCCCAAGTGGAGTCGTGTCTCAGGGAATATATACCTTCTTTCCCCTAATTATTCTAAAGCTCCACCAGTCTCTTTGTGATTGGTTAGTTCTTGGCTGTCTCACTTAATTTGCTACTTAGCAGGGGATCTTCACATTCCTTATCTGACAGGTTTGTCTTTCCCCATTTGTTGTATCTTTATCTTTATGGCCCAGTCCTCCAGATGGACATCCCTGCATTGAAGTTAAACAGCTGCCCTTCTAATTTGTCCATAAATTAAACCACTCTCCATTTCCCCAATCTCTGCCTCCCTTTATCACTTGAAGGAAACCAAGGCCAGCATTAACAATGTTGTCCTTGATCCTGGGATGTTTGTTTTTCCAGGTGGAATTAGTTACATTCCTCTTGCTGCCCTTATCTCTGAAGCCTTCCTCAACTCTCCAAGGCCCCCTCCTGCAGTGTCCCTAAAACTGCCTAATTACCCTAACTTGCCCTGTGTCTCAGTTTTATTTCTGGGTGCTGCATCTCCCCCCGCAGTGATCTTTAGGAATGGCTTTCGCCACGGTCCCTAGATCCGGCTGGGCAACCAGCGCGCGATGGGAGAACAGCCTGAAGCAGAGGAAGTTCAGTGGAAGTTCCCTGAAAAGGCAGAAACTTATCAAAAGATAACGACCACCAAGAACCACTACAAGAATGCTAAAAATCTTATCCCTCTTCCTAGAACTACAAACTTTAATCCCTTATTTGTCTTTCTAAACTTCCTTCTTTCTTCTATAATGGTCATTGCTTGTTATGTAGATCACCTCCCTGATAGTGATAGACTGAGCCCATGAGCAAGCTAATTTCTTTGATATTCATTCCTGTGCTTTTGGAAAACATACATATACTGGTTACAAACTCAAAGAAAATTACACTCAGATTTTCACTCTTGAAGTGTGTCTGTTTGTCATTTCTTTTGCCGACTCCGTGACCACCCTGCACGCTTCTCTCAACCCTGAGGTGGCCTCATCGTCTACTGCTGTGCTGGTCTGCGGCATCTGGGTAAACTTGTAAACCATACAAGTGTTACAGGACAGAGAGAGGGGCAGCCCAAACCCTGCAAACCTGCCTATTCTATATAGGGTTCTGCCATCCACCACATTAACACAAAACATGAGACTTTAATGGGAAGGAACTTTAATACAATTAGGAAACAATACAGGAAAGGCAAAGAATCTGGTTTCTAAATCAAGCACCCAAAGTTACCTGTTCCCTCGTGGGTAAAACTCCATTCAAATGGGATTGGCCCAGAGTAAGGCCCCAAAGCCTGCCACAAGTCTAAAGCATCTTCCTGGGGGACCCACAGAAAAGGGTCAGAAACAACCAGACAAGCCCGGAAGGAAAAGAGCAAAATCAAAATCAAGATAAAAGCTGCCATTGTCACCTCCCTACGGGTCTCACCCACATCTGTGTCACCCCGTCCACGACCAAAAGACAAGCACAGTTTCTTCACGTGTCTCTAGGCTCCATGTGCCTCCTCCAGGTCTCCTTCTGGCTCCATCCTTCTTCCTTCCTCAGTCTCCTCTGCAGCTTCTTTTCTCCGCTCAGCTCCACCCTCCCTTGGGTGGGCCAGGAAACCTGGAACTGCCCCCTTTCCTGGGGACCACCCTGTTACACAAGGTCAGAAGTATCACAAATGAAGAGGGTGCAAAGAAAAGGAAGAAAGAAAGAAAAAAAAAACCACTGGGAATAGCAAGAGGCATTCAAGGAACCAAAGAATGCCAACAATATTTAACTCCCATTTTTTAAAAAGGGGATTTTATGTTTGGCTAAAACCGTACCCTTTAAATGAATTTTGTCCACTGTCAATGAAAGGAAGTCACTGACACAGAGCAGACTGCTATTGCTATGTCTATCAATGACCTTTATTGTTTGTGACATGGTGACTTTCAAGGTAGCAAAAATGGCAACAAATGTTCTAGTATCAACCCATTTGAGCAATGTTAAAATGGAACTGCACACAGGCCCAACAAAATGGATATCCTCACCAACATTTCCACCCCAGAAAATAACACCTTTTTAGACATTACAGAAAATAACACATACATTTTTTTAAAGATTTATTTATTTATACAAGCACTTGATACAGTCAGAAGTGCGGGAGGGTGAGAGAATTCACCAGAGCCAGAGCGGGGAGCAGAGCAGGCAGAAGGATCGAAGTACACTGCTGAGGGGAGCAGTGGGCGGCAGGAGAGGTCTGCGCGCCATGTGGGCCACTCCTCTGGTGGCCCGGGAGCAGCGGGGGATCGAACTGGTGCTGCAGAGGCTGCGGGCAGCTTCACAACCCAGTGCTCAACCGCAGCGCCACTGGGGAGGCCCAACACATACATTTTTTATTAACACTCTGTTTTATGAATGTTCCATAACTGGAAAAAAGTAACAAACCTAGATGGGACTTCCTATTTGTAAGCAATTTACAGATTCAGTGCAATTTCAATGGAATTTTCAATGGTGTTCTTCAACAAAATGGAACCAATACTGTTCAAATTCATATGGAATCACAAAACCTCGAGCAGCGAAAGTTGTGACTAAAAGGGAGGAACAATGGAGGTCTGACACTCCCAGACATTCAACAATATGACAAAGCTGTTATAATAAAAACTGTGTTGGGACAAAAACAGACACAGAGACCAATGGAATCAAAGTTAAGCCCAGAAATAAAAACACACACATATGGTGAGCTAACCTATGACAAAGGAGCAAAGAATATACATTGGAAAAATATCGCCTCTTCCATAAATGGTGCTGGGGAAACTGGATTGCAACATGCAAAAGAATGAACTAGACCACTATCTCACACAATACACAAACCAACTCAAGTGGATGAAAGACTTGCATGTGAAACCTGGCACCATCGAATATACAGAAGGAAACACAGGACAACGCTCAATGACATGATCCTCAGAAACATCTTTGAGGATTCTTCTCCAGAAGCAAGGAAAACCAGGGAGAATGTAAACAGTTGGGGCTACACTAAAAGACAATGATCAAAGCAAAGAGACACCCCGCTGAATGGGAGAAAATATCAGCACACCACATGACAGCTAAGGGACTGATATCAAAGATCTACCAAGAGCTTACACGACTCCACAAAAACAAAAAACCCAGTCCAAAAAAAATGGGCAGAAGTAAAAAGACACTTCTCCGAAGAAGAAATGCAAATGGCCAACAGGCATAGAAAAAATGTTCAGCATCACTAATATCAGGGAAATGCAAATCAAAACCACAATGAGGGACCACCTCACTCCAGTGAGAATGCTCCTCATTAAAAAAACAAAACAAAACTGGCAATAACAAATGCTGGAAAAGCAGAGGAGACAAAGGAGGCTCTGACGCTGCTGGTGGGAGCGCAAACTGGTCCAGCCACTATGGGCAGCTGTGTGGAGGTTGCTCAGAACACTTAAAACGGGTCTACACATGATCCAGAGTTCCACTCCTAGGAATCTACCCAAGGGACAAAAAAACAAAACAAAACAGGAAACCTGAACTCCTGTGCTTATTGCAGCACTGTTTACAGTAGCCATGACATGGAAACAACTCAAATGCCACAAAACAGATGAATGGATCAAAAAGTTGTGGTACAGTTACACCGCGGAGTATTGCTCAAAATCAAAAAAGACAAATTCACGCTGTTTGTGGTGATACGGATGGAGCTGGAAGGGATGATGCTAGCCACAGTAAGGCAGGAGAAAGAGAAATATTAGGTGGTTTCTTACGTAGGAAATATAGAGAAACTGAACAAAAGGTAGAGAAAAAGACAACCCCAGCAGGCTGACCAAGAGCTGAGCCCCCAGCGTGGAGGGGGGAGGGGCGGACAGAGGGGAGGGAAGAGCACAAGGGATTATGGGGATGGGTCACGGGTGCTATTCTGGGGGGAGCACTATGGGGACCACCCCTGAAGGGGGAATCCAATACCTAAAAAAAAATGAACAACGATGCAAGAAAAGAAAAAAAAGAGATGAGCTTGAGGAAAGGAAGACCCTAAGACAATATAAATAAATAAATGGTCCTAAAGGCGGGTCTCACCTGAACAATGCTGCAGGCACTGCCGAGGCATCCTCTCCTCACCAGTTGTTCTAGATCTCCAGGAATTTTCTCTGGTAAGTACAGCAGTTAAGCCTGCTGCCTGGGAATCATTAGAAAAAGGCTAATTTTAAAAAAGATTTATTTATTTATACAAGAACCGGGGTGCAGGCCAGATGCGCCAACCAGACCTCTAGCGCCTTCCCTCCCTGGGCCTCACCTGTCTGCTCCCCGCCGCCGGCTCCCAGGTCAAGGGCAGCGGCGCCCCTACGGGGTTCCTGAAGGACCAGGCTCACCCCAGTCCAACCTCACCCCGAGTCAGGGGCCAGCAGGGCCTGAACGAGCATGCATGTGCGGTAGTGCTAGGTGCAGCCAGTGCGCTGGGCAGGGCTGGGCGTGCAGGGGCTCCCAGAGGCAACTCCTCCCCCGCCCCTCGCAGGCCCTGGAGGGATGGCTCCCAAATAAACACTGAGATGCAGACAAATGCCTCCTCCTCGCCCAAAATACTGTGACCCTACATTATCCGCTAGTCATTAAAAGGGCAAACAAAGTGCCTTGAATTTCTGGGAAAGATTATTTTTTAAACCATTCTTAAAAATCCCCTTACCTGAAGCTGACATAAAAGCATGACTAAGGGCCACCCTGGTGGGGAAGGGGTTAAGCACCACACTGTGAAGCCATCCACAGCCTCTGGAGCCCCAGTTCCATCCCCAGCCAGGAAGGTGACCCACGGGGAGCCATAGACCTCTCCTGTCTCCCCGCTGCTCCCCTCAGCAGTGGATTCCAGTCAGTCCACCTGTTCTGTTCCCCGCGCTGTCTCTGGTGAACTCCCTTACCCCACCCACGCATCTCTGCCCTGCCCCTGAGCTCTTGTATTCATAAGTAAATAAATCTGCAAAAAATAAAATAAATAAAATAAAGCATAACACGTCTCCCGACTTACACATCCGGGAACGCCCTGGCGGAGGACCGATGTATTGACAAGGACCCAGAAGCTGATCAGTGGAAAGCCTTGTTGATAAGATTAGAACAATGGCTGGGGATTAGGGTGTGTCATGAAGTAGCTAAGAAGTGCCTGGAGGGCAGACTCACAATCCCTAATCTTCTACACCCTTCCCCTTTCTATCATCTCCATGCCTTTAATCTCCTTTTGCTCTCCCCCTCACAACCAATACCGTGGGTCAATAAAAGGGCCAGGATCTTACTCTTCAGCAATATCCTGCATTATGTAGCCTGCTCCAGGACTCCCATTTCTTTATCAGTGTGATGTTGCCTGATGCAACAAATGGCTCCCAAACAGGGACCCCATACCCTGCTTCTCAAGCCGGGAGACGGGAATTGGACATCCTCTCAAGTCTGGCCAAAAGGCTTCACAGACCCAGAGTCTGCAACGAAGCGGTAAGAAGGTGTTTTCAGTTGTGTCTTTCCTATCTTTTTCTTCCAAATGAGCCTGGTAAAAGGCCCACAGACAGAGTCTGTGATGTACTTTCTTCCAAATCAGCCAGGTAAAAGGCCCACAGAGCCGGACTCTGTGATGATAATAAACCTGGTGAAAGGCCCACAGACACTGAGTCTGTGATGTTAACTTTCTTCAGTGAGTTTTTCAGTTAAATCTTTACTCTCTCTCTTAGAAACATGAGTGATAATCTCACACCCCTTCAGATCAAAGATCTTAACCTCTCTTCTCCTGTTTACCCCATGCATGGATACAGTCAGAAGTGCGGGATGGTGAAAGAATTCACCAGAAACAAAGCGGGGACAATAGCAAGCAAAGGATCTTAAGTACAACTGCTGAGGGGAGCAGTGGGCGGCAGTAAGCTGCCGTCATGTGGGCCACTCCTCTGGGGCCTCGGGAGCAATGGGGGATTAAACTGGTGCTGCAGAGGCTGCGGGCAGCTTCACAACCCAGTGCTCAACCGCAGCGCCACTGGGGAGGCCCAACACATACATTTTTTATTAACACTCTGTTTTATGAATGTTCCATAACTGGAAAAAAGTAACAAACCTAGATGGGACTTCCTATTTGTAAGCAATTTACAGATTCAGTGCAATTTCAATGGAATTTTCAATGGTGTTCTTCAACAAAATGGAACCAATACTGTTCAAATTCATATGGAATCACAAAACCTCGAGCAGCGAAAGTTGTGACTAAAAGGGAGGAACAATGGAGGTCTGACACTCCCAGACATTCAACAATATGACAAAGCTGTTATAATAAAAACTGTGTTGGGACAAAAACAGACACAGAGACCAATGGAATCAAAGTTAAGCCCAGAAATAAAAACACACACATATGGTGAGCTAACCTATGACAAAGGAGCAAAGAATATACATTGGAAAAATATCGCCTCTTCCATAAATGGTGCTGGGGAAACTGGATTGCAACATGCAAAAGAATGAACTAGACCACTATCTCACACAATACACAAACCAACTCAAGTGGATGAAAGACTTGCATGTGAAACCTGGCACCATCGAATATACAGAAGGAAACACAGGACAACGCTCAATGACATGATCCTCAGAAAAACATCTTTGAGGATTCTTCTCCAGAAGCAAGGAAAACAGGGAGAATGTAAACAGTTGGGGCTACACTAAAAGACAATGATCAAAGCAAAGAGACACCCCGCTGAATGGGAGAAAATATCAGCACACCACATGACAGCTAAGGGACTGATATCAAAGATCTACCAGAGCTTACACGACTCCACAAAAACAAAAAACCCAGTCCAAAAAAAATGGGCAGAAGTAAAAAGACACTTCTCCGAAGAAGAAATGCAAATGGCCAACAGGCATAGAAAAAATGTTCAGCATCACTAATATCAGGGAAATGCAAATCAAAACCACAATGAGGGACCACCTCACTCCAGTGAGAATGCTCCTCATTAAAAAAACAAAACAAAACTGGCAATAACAAATGCTGGAAAAGCAGAGGAGACAAAGGAGGCTCTGACGCTGCTGGTGGGAGCGCAAACTGGTCCAGCCACTATGGGCAGCTGTGTGGAGGTTGCTCAGAACACTTAAAACGGGTCTACACATGATCCAGAGTTCCACTCCTAGGAATCTACCCAAGGGACAAAAAAACAAAACAAAACAGGAAACCTGAACTCCTGTGCTTATTGCAGCACTGTTTACAGTAGCCATGACATGGAAACAACTCAAATGCCACAAAACAGATGAATGGATCAAAAAGTTGTGGTACAGTTACACCGCGGAGTATTGCTCAAAATCAAAAAAGACAAATTCACGCTGTTTGTGGTGATACGGATGGAGCTGGAAGGGATGATGCTAGCCACAGTAAGGCAGGAGAAAGAGAAATATTAGGTGGTTTCTTACGTAGGAAATATAGAGAAACTGAACAAAAGGTAGAGAAAAAGACAACCCCAGCAGGCTGACCAAGAGCTGAGCCCCCAGCGTGGAGGGGGGAGGGGCGGACAGAGGGGAGGGAAGAGCACAAGGGATTATGGGGATGGGTCACGGGTGCTATTCTGGGGGGAGCACTATGGGGACCACCCCTGAAGGGGGAATCCAATACCTAAAAAAAAATGAACAACGATGCAAGAAAAGAAAAAAAAGAGATGAGCTTGAGGAAAGGGAAGACCCTAAGACAATATAAATAAATAAATGGTCCTAAAGGCGGGTCTCACCTGAACAATGCTGCAGGCACTGCCGAGGCATCCTCTCCTCACCAGTTGTTCTAGATCTCCAGGAATTTTCTCTGGTAAGTACAGCAGTTAAGCCTGCTGCCTGGGAATCATTAGAAAAAGGCTAATTTTAAAAAAGATTTATTTATTTATACAAGAACCGGGGTGCAGGCCAGATGCGCCAACCAGACCTCTAGCGCCTTCCCTCCCTGGGCCTCACCTGTCTGCTCCCCGCCGCCGGCTCCCCAGGTCAAGGGGCAGCGGCGCCCCTACGGGGTTCCTGAAGGACCAGGCTCACCCCAGTCCAACCTCACCCCGAGTCAGGGGCCAGCAGGGCCTGAACGAGCATGCATGTGCGGTAGTGCTAGGTGCAGCCAGTGCGCTGGGCAGGGCTGGGCGTGCAGGGGCTCCCAGAGGCAACTCCTCCCCCGCCCCTCGCAGGCCCTGGAGGGATGGCTCCCAAATAAACACTGAGATGCAGACAAATGCCTCCTCCTCGCCCAAAATACTGTGACCCTACATTATCCGCTAGTCATTAAAAGGGCAAACAAAGTGCCTTGAATTTCTGGGAAAGATTATTTTTTTAAACCATTCTTAAAAATCCCCTTACCTGAAGCTGACATAAAAGCATGACTAAGGGCCACCCTGGTGGGGAAGGGGTTAAGCACCACACTGTGAAGCCATCCACAGCCTCTGGAGCCCCAGTTCCATCCCCAGCCAGGAAGGTGACCCACGGGGAGCCATAGACCTCTCCTGTCTCCCCGCTGCTCCCCTCAGCAGTGGATTCCAGTCAGTCCACCTGTTCTGTTCCCCGCGCTGTCTCTGGTGAACTCCCTTACCCCACCCACGCATCTCTGCCCTGCCCCTGAGCTCTTGTATTCATAAGTAAATAAATCTGCAAAAAATAAAATAAAATAAAATAAAGCATAACACGTCTCCCGACTTACACATCCGGGAACGCCCTGGCGGAGGACCGATGTATTGACAAGGGACCCCAGAAGCTGATCAGTGGAAAGCCTTGTTGATAAGATTAGAACAATGGCTGGGGATTAGGGTGTGTCATGAAGTAGCTAAGAAGTGTCTGGAGGGCAGACTCACAATCCCTAATCTTCTACACCCTTCCCCTTTCTATCATCTCCATGCCTTTAATCTCCTTTTGCTCTTCCCCCTCACAACCAATACCGTGGGTCAATAAAAGGGCCAGGATCTTACTCTTCAGCAATATCCTGCATTATGTAGCCTGCTCCAGGACTCCCATTTCTTTATCAGTGTGATGTTGCCTGATGCAACAAATGGCTCCCAAACAGGGACCCCATACCCTGCTTCTCAAGCCGGGAGACGGGAATTGGACATCCTCTCAAGTCTGGCCAAAAGGCTTCACAGACCCAGAGTCTGCAACGAAGCGGTAAGAAGGTGTTTTCAGTTGTGTCTTTCCTATCTTTTTCTTCCAAATGAGCCTGGTAAAAGGCCCACAGACAGAGTCTGTGATGTTACTTTCTTCCAAATCAGCCAGGTAAAAGGCCCACAGAGCCGGACTCTGTGATGATAATAAACCTGGTGAAAGGCCCACAGACACTGAGTCTGTGATGTTAACTTTCTTCAGTGAGTTTTTCAGTTAAATCTTTACTCTCTCTCTTAGAAACATGAGTGATAATCTCACACCCCTTCAGATCAAAGATCTTAACCTCTCTTCTCCTGTTTTCCCCATGCATGGTCCATAAAAAATGTTCCATTATGTTAAAAATGTTTGGTCTCAATAAAATAAAGCAAAAACAATATAAAGCCAAAGGATTATTTCTTAAAAATACAAACTCTAAAATATTTTAGCATCTCAAACTTAGTAACAACTGCCTGTCTTTAAAATTTTGGTGACCGTGGGCCCTCAGTCTTAAGTAATGGTTAAAATTAAACACTTTATCTATATAAGGATTTTAACTTCTATCTCATTAAAAAATCTTGATAAATGGGGCCTTCCTGGTAATACAGGGGTTGAAGTCTCAACACTGTTGAGCTATCTCAGGCCAGTACAGCAAGGGTTAGATCCTGGCTGGGGATTTGGCCCACATTACACAGCCAGCCTCTCCTGTCTCAGCCGTCTTCTC